TAATGTAACCTCTTTGGTCTAAAAACTTTTTATTAGTAATCATTTATTATTATAGTTACAATGAAGATACAACTAGCAATACATGCACCTTTTAAGTGTCTATTTAAATAGTTCACCTACAGGTTCTACACTATATATCATATAAATAACTCAACTAGGAAGTTACTCATTTAAACCTTCTGATCCTAACTATTTTCAAACATATCATACTAACTAGGGAACTACCAATAGCCCATTCCACTAATTGCACACCCTGCTCTAGGACTTCCTGTAGCTTATCCTGGGTTTGCACTGACTAATTATTGGCTTGTATTTCTCTATTAAATAGATGTACAGGCTATCCTCGAAGTAAATTTACCAGAGCTTTCCCTATTTTATTTGGGCCAACCTGGTTTTGCACAGTTGCTGAGGCTTCCACTTGCAGTTAGGATTATTCCTATTTAACTGCTTTTGCTCTTATAAGTTTTACTCCTAATCTCAGTATCCATATTCAGACTTTTCCTTTTTCTGCTATTTCTTTATTAATTCATCCCTTACTTTCAACCAGTAACCCAGAAGATTCAACCTTGGCTTGGCATTAGATGCCAGTGCTCTTATCTCATCTCGGTATATGAATTTTTCCAGCATATGTTTTTTTTCTCCAATTTGGTAGGCTGGTCCTTTAGACACGCCTGCATTTTTTTGTCAGTTACATGACTTTTATAACCCCTAGTCTTGGTGGGTAGGATCTCCACCACTAGTTTCTCGCACTAGTTGGCCAGGGTTGGTATACTTTGTAATACCTTACAGATTTTCAACTTTCTAAATTGGCAGTTGGGTTGGTAAATCCCTCACTAAAGGATTTTGTTATCGTTCAGTTCTCTAATCTTGGTCCTAACTTCCAAATTCAGGGTTTTTCTATTATATCATCAAAAATCGTGGCTACTCCTTACACAGGTCTTCCTAAACAGGTTTTGATCATTCCAGTCTCTCAGCTTTTTACACGTCAAAGCTCCTATATAAACATACTGCATTGAGATTACAGGTTCTCAGACCCAACTGATCGACAGATAATCATTACTGTAATGCAGGCTTATTTTTTGAAATTGTTGTCTGTGGAATTCAAACTTTGGACCTGCTGTTTGGTGGGGTAACAACTAGACTACTTCACTAAACTGCTACACCCTTAGTTTGAGCTCTTATTTTTGTATATAATTTATATTTATTTGTTATTATACAAATTAAGCTTTTATAACTATGTAATTACTTATATAAATTAACCAATAAAGATATAAGCAAGACCTCACCTTAATACCAAAAAAAAAAAAAATTTTATTAATAAAATTCTATAAAAATTTATAACTCACAAATTCTTATTAATTAATTCTAACTTAATACACAAAGTAAACTTATTCAGTACCTAAAAATACATTAAATCGGCATAATTATTTTTATTTACTTGAAATTTAGAGAATAGATGTATAATTTTGGATTTTGATCAAAAAAATCAAATTTAAGCATCTGTTTTCCAAATTTCAAGTAAAATAAAAAAATTTAGCCAATTTAATCTATTTGTAGATACTAAACAATTTTATTTAGTAAATAATTGTAGAACTACTTAATAAAATTTTGTGAATAATAAGATTTTATAGAATTCTATTAACAAAATTCTATAAAATCTTGTGATTCACAAGATTTCACCAATTAATTCTAACTTAATGTACTAAGTAAACTTATTCAGCACCTAAAAATACATTAAGTCGGTCAATTCTTTTTTATTTTACTTGAAATTTGGAGAATAGATGCTTAAATTTAACTTTTTTGATCAAAAATCCAAAATTATGCATCTATCCTCTAAATTTCAAGTAAAATAAAAATAATTCTCCCAATATGATGCATTTTTAGGTGCTGAATAAGTTTACTTAGTACATAACGTTAAAATTAATTAATAAAATTTTGTGAATTATAAGATTTTATAAAATTTTATTAATAAAATTTTATAAAATCTTATAATTCATAAAATTTTACTAATTAATTCTAAAAACATGCACTAAGTAAACTTGTTCAGCACAAAAAAATACATATAACTATATTCGAACTCGGACCAGTTCACGAACTTCGAACCGAACTCGGACCGAACTTATAATTGAGTCTGAGTCTGGTTTGAAGTCCGAAATTAGTAAAATTTAGAGTTCGAGTCCGGTTCGATCCCGGACCGAACCCGGACCGGACCCGAACCGAACCTAGGATCACTATTTCAGGTGTTTTAGAATTGGTTAAACCAATCCTAAAACACCTGAAGTGACACAAATCATTAATGATTTCGTATCCTGTAATTGAATTTTACCGCCTTTTGACTCATTAGAATCATCTCATCGAGACGAATATTTTGGTAGTTGTTTCGTCGAGAACGGACCAACGGATCAAAAGTTATTCATTGCTAAATATTTTTGAAATTTTAATAGAAATTCCAAAAATCCGCCGATATGTTATCACCAAAATTACTACAGTATACGTATTACAATACTGTAGTATACTACAGTATTACTATAATATCATAGTAATTAGTAATACAGTCGTCCTCCTCTACAGTCACCTCCTATATAATCACACCCTCTTTATAAGCACTATTTTTTGAAAAATATATTTATTAAAAACACTCTATATAATCACATTACTATTAAAATTTATAATCACATTTTTTTTATGTAAAACAAACGGCGTGATTATAGAGGAGGACGACTGTATTTAGTTTTGTAATTTGGAATTATAACTTGTGATGGTAAATATTTATACATGATCACATTGATTCCCAAAAAAGGTGTTAATCAATATGAGCGCACATGATTTTTTATTTTGTATTCACTGAAATCACTGGAACAAATAATTTAAGTTGCTGGAAGATCCTTTTTAAGAGTTCCAAGGAAGTTATGTTTTTCTTCAGCGATCTGGAATCTACCATGACCAAATTTGGAACTCGTATCTATAAACTATAAACACATTGGGAATGTAAGAAAATAAACCTTTAATAACGCAAGCAAATGTAGATTTTCAACAAACCTTAAGTGAAATCTTCTCCAAAGCAGAACGTTTGGTATGAGTTAGCAGAGATTTTCTTAGGGTAAGAACGCGCTTTTTAACACCAACGCATGCACCCTTGATCATAATGCTAAATAAAAAGTAAACCGATTTATATTAAAAGAAATACAATAATTATAAACTTAAAGAAAATATTACTTACAAATCTTCGTTCACAACGCCATAATGAGGGAATCCACCTAACGGTGTAATCTGTTTCTCTGTAAGATCATATTCGGTTGATGCATTATTCTTGTCATCACCTTTTCCAATGCGATAAATCTTCTTGTTAACCTCGGTCCTGTGATGATAACCATTTTGACCAGCACGTGGAACAGAGTACATGACTCTACAGTTATAAAATAAGTGTAAGATAACAACTTTTGGTAAAATATTTAGGAAATATACAATAGCAGTGCTACCATACCTTGAAGGATGCCATGCACCTATAAAATACCAATAAAAGTTAATATCGTTAATCGTAACAAATTAATCATTAAAATTGCAATTGAAATATTTTACGTACCAATACAAGCGACCTTTCGTAGACCTTTATGGGTCTTACGAGGAAGTTTCTTCGTTCCCCAACGATGTGTCACACCTTCGAAACCTTTACCTTTAGTGACACCAATAACGTCGATAAGCTCATCTTGTTCAAAAACTGAGCTAATATCAATTTCTTTTTCGAATTTTTCATAAGCCCAATCAACCTTTTGTTCGATAGTACCACCATTAAGCTGAATTTCCATTAAGTGGGCTTTCTTCTGACCTATTTTCACCTTTTTTATTTGAGTGTGCGCCAACACGCGAACGACTTGACAATATTTTTTAATTCGGGTAAGTTCTCTGCGGATATCTTTATCACCTTCAGCATACTTTTTGGCATATTTTGTGAATGCCTTTTTCTTAGAACGATACCAATTCTTATAGAAACGACGTTTAACTTCATCAGATAAATGTTGAGCCCAAACAGTGGTCAAAGCACGGAGACCACGAGGAGTTTCAACATAGCCTACAACACCAACAATACACAATGGCGGAGTTTCAATCACAGTAACTGCCTCGACAACCTCTTTCTTATGCATTTCTATTTAAAAGTTGGGGATAACATTTTTAAAACCCGTAAAATCCGATTTAGTTAGATTAAGCCGAATAAAATACTAAAAATATGTACTAAAGATAAAAGAGCTTACTTGAGCCAGGTCGATCCATATCACGAACAACGTGAGTCATACCAGCCTTATAGCCAAGAAATGCAGTTAAATGCACAGGCTTGCTGGGATCGTCTTTCGGAAAAGACTTGACTTTACCACGATGTCGTCTCGCACGCTTACGTGGAAGAAAACCCAAAGAGCCATGGCGAGGAGCCTCAAACTTACGATGAGACTAGTAGCAGTACAATAATAATAAATTAAAAAATTTTAAATGGATGTACTTTATGTTTTAATGTAATACTCACCATGACGCTTTTAATTAAATGGAAGAATTGATGAAATTTTTTAAATTTTTTTTTATCAATCAATTCTATCATTCTATTGGTTGATGATCTTTCCGAGGTGAACCTTATCTAGGACCACTGGAAATCTGCAGAAACATGAATTTTATCGTTATCGCATAAATTAGTAGAATTTTTTAGCAGATTTAAATTTTTATGAGGACCCGGGAAGCAGGGCTAAAACGACACATAGGCCATTCAATAAGTATTGTTTTTGATCCTAAAATTTTATTATTCGTAAATTTGAAGTATCAAAAACGATACTTCAAACAATGGGCAGCGGCGCAGTAAATGGCCACCGTATACTATGTGTCGTTTTAGCCCTGTCGGGAAGATTCCGATGTAGGCGATCAGCGATCCTAAGGGTGAACATGGTTAAACGGTTAAGAAAATTTTAAACAGAGCTTTCAGTTTTTGCGATAGTAAAAGTTCTAGTGACTAGTGACATAAAGTCATACTGTTACATTTTTTTTTAACATGACCTTTGGCCATACAATCATGACTTTTTGTCCTAGGCCATATTGGTCATATTACAGTATTAAGCGCCATATCGATGGTTATTTAAGGTCATCGGCCATAATTTTAAAAAATCGCAGAAAAATACAGTCATTGATCAGTAATAAATATTCGTAATGAAAATAAAAAAATACATTTATAAAATAATAAATATATATACTAGCAGCTAGAAAGAGTTAAAATCACGATTTCCCCGTCCCCGAGTGAATGTAATATTCAGATATTATAATTTGCGAATGAGTTTTTTTTTTTTGGTATAGAGCCATTTGCTATCATTAGGATTTTCAATATCTTCAATGTTTATTGCAACAAGTTAAAAATTCTTTCAGTACTATTACACATTGATTCGTTCTTGTACGTGATAGAGTTTTCATTTTAGATTTTTTGTGGAGGGCTTTACTGTCCAGACCTGTAACGAGTGCCCCTGCATTAATGTTCATATCGGAGTGGAAGTTTTACTATCCAGACTTGTGTCTCGTTATTCGATATTCGATGAATATTCGAATAAATATTTATCTGTCGAATAATTTTCATTATTCGTGTCGAGATACTGGAAGGTTCTAGAGCTTTCGTGTTACACGAAGGAATGCAAACCGGTCTAGGCGGTGCAAACCCATGATAAGTCTCTGGAACTGAAATAAAACCGAAAGAGAACTAGAAGAACCGAAACTGGCTTGGCAAGACCCAAGTTTAGAAAGTAGTGAGGATATAATGGTACCACAGAACAGAATCAGACCAACCAAGAACTTGGGGGACCCAGATGACAAGACCCTTATAGGTTTGGGGTTCTACCAACCTGGCTATTGGAGTCACACTGGAGGAAAAGGACATGTGTTCTGGAAGCATGTACCAAGAGAAGAAAGACTATAAAGTACTTAAAGCCTAGGCAGACCAACTCTACCAGATCAACTGGTTTGAAAGTTTGATAAAATTAAAAACTTGGTTTGTAAAGAGAAAAGTAAAATAGGTATTTAGTTTAAAAACATTGAATTTTTACAAAGGCAAAAGTGGTTTAATAGAATAATGAGCAAAAGTTAGAGAATTGTAAATTCATTAGAATTCTACACTGCAGGATTAGAGATCTAAAACATCAAATAATAGACTTAATAGCTTGGTCACAACTGCAAGTAAAAGCCTTGATAACTATAAAAAAGTAATTATAAGTAGGTATACAAGAACCTAAAATCAGGCTAATTTTGTGATTATTTTTAATAGAATTAGGTTGAGGGTAAATTGAAAATACTATAGAAGAACTCTTTCCGCTGATCCTCCGGCACAAAATTCGGTGAAGAAGCAACTACTATATAGAGTATCTTCTGCACTAGTAAACCTCTAAACACATACTAAGCAAAAAGAAAGCACAGAGAAAACAAGCTACAGTTTAGTAGAA